TCTCTGAAATCCTGGATGGGCTGGGTCTGAGTCCCATAAATCCAGCTTGTGCTTAGCAGCTGCAAGAACTTTTATTGGGGAGGGACACAGAGTTTGAACATGGGCAGATGGAAACCACTGACTTTTAGTATTTTAATCAAGACAAATTCCCTTTTAAAAATTTCCTTTCCATAAATGGAAACTTAACCTGGAATAAAATAATTAATTTTGGTCACTTGAAGGCACACAAGATGCTGAACTGCCCAAGCTTCTGCTGCCCCTTCTTTGCTAGGCTGCTTTGGCTTAAGGGCATGAGGTTTGATTCCCTCTTCCACAGACTGACCCAAGTGTGAGGAGGCTACAAGTGAGTTAGGATGAAATGCAGGAGTAAGGACAAGCTGCCTCTGCCTTCCTGCCAACATGAGCCTAAAGCCACTAAGAGTTCAAACAGGCGCCCTGGCCATGCAGGGGCTGCCCTCACCCACATCAGCTGAGCATCCCACCCCTCTGAGTTTTTTACTTTTTTAATTAAGTGAAAATTTGCACCACTATTGTACTTCCTTTAGGGCCACAAAAATGATCAGAGGGATGGAACACCTCTGCTATGAAGACAGACTGAGAGTTGGGGTTGTTCTGACTGGAGAAGACAAGGCTCTGGTGAGACCTTAGAGCACCTTCCATTATCTGAAGAGGCTAGAAGAAAGCTGGGGAAGGACTTTTGACAAGGACAGGGAGTGAGGGTGAGGGGGAATGGTTTTAAGCTGAAAGAAGGGAGTTTTAGATGAGATCTTTGGAAGAAATTTTTTACGCTGAGAACCACTGCCACAGATTGCCCAGAGATGTGGTTGATGCCCCATCCATGGAAACATTCAAAATCAGTTTGGTTGGGCTCTGAGCAACCTCATTTAATGGAAGATGGCCCTGCTCACTGTAGGTTGGACTAGATGATTAGTCTGTGGTTCTGTGATTCCTTCTGCAGGGGAACAGTACAAGCTCCTCTGTGGCTGGGTACTTCTGAAAGTCTGATTTGATTTTTAGCTCCCACTTTTCCAACAATTTCACATATTCTTGGTTGCAGAGCCTGTGCTTAGTGTCCAAATAAACCCTATCTAGTGACAACATCTACATCAGGACTAGTCATGGCTCTTGAGCACAAGCCACCCCCCTCCTTTCACTCAGCCAAGAAACAAGTCTTTTACATAAGAACGTTTATTGACAGAAATACATGATGCTTTCAAAATACATTTGTAGGAAAATGCAAGAATAATCTCTACAATCCAGTTCCTCAGTAAATTCCAGTGTAAATCAGACTCCTGTCCCCGTGAAAGATGCTGCTATACAGTACATAAGAGCTCTAGTATATGTGCAAGGTTCAACGGGTTCCTATGTCTTAGGAAATAAGTTCTCCTTCTGCAGTCAGTCCCTTACGGATTATGTCTTCTCCTGTGTGTCTTCTGTAGGCACCAGTCACAGTTGGGTCATGGCACTGTGAGCAGGAGATAAATGGCCCTAAAATATTTACACATTCCTCATGAATCTGAAAATAGAAAAGTCTCTTGCAAGGACATCTGAGCTGCTTGTAAAACCCTCACCCAAAGGTAAGGGCAATAATCTCTTTTGTACAACGTGTTGGATGTTAAAGCTGTTTTGGGAGAGAGGAGTGTGGGGAAGGGAGGAGGGGCAGGGAGGGAGGAAATGCCTGGGTAGATATTTTTTTAAAATTTATTTTTGGTCTAACAATTATGGCTACTGTCTACAAAGGGAAGGATTAAGGCCAAAGATGCTCATCACTGCATTTCCTACCTGATTTCTTTTTTTTTTTTCCTTTTTGTAAAAAGAATGTTCTCAACATAAAAAACATACTGTTGGTTTTGTATTATTTATTTTTTTTTTTTCCCATGGAAATAGTTCTTTAAATAGGGGAAGGAAAATCTACTATAAAATATTAGTGGTTTAAAAATATGGTGTCTGGAAAAATAAATAAATGTACAATTCCTATTCAAATATAAATCACTATAAGCACTTGCTGAGCAGTTGATATCGTCACTGGTCTCTGCTCGGAAAGATTTAAGGTTGCTTGATCTCAAGCCTTTGTAGGGTTCTCTGGGAAAGTCTTTGGACCTGATTCATTAAAGCACTTTGGCATCTCTTCGCGGTGAAGGGGGATCTTTAGGCACATTCCCAAACCCGGCTGCCTGGAGATGCTCTGCCAGGAGCATCCTAACGGCCAAAACCCCGCTGCTGCCCCCTGCTTTTCCTGCGTGTGTTTCCTGGGAAGGACAGAATCTCGAGGTCACCGACCTGCCGCTCGTCTCTCGGGGCAACTGGGAAGCAAACATGCTCGCACAGGCAATCGCAAACGCTGAGACTGTTTCTTTGAGCCTTGCTGCAACTTTTAAGAGCTGAACTTGATTCTGCCGGAGCAGGGAGAAAGCCGTGGAGTGGGGTTATCCACGTGGGATGTGTTTTCCTGCTTGGTGGTGAGTTTTGATCCCCTACCAAACTGGCCTTTAGCTTTTTATTTTCTTTTTTTTTTCTTTTTTCCTGGTTTTTTTTTTTTTTTGTTGTTGTTGTTGTTAATTCCCTCCCCCCTCCAAAATGACTCCCCCGAAGTGCAGCGCACAGGTAAGTGAGGTGTGCTGAATACATTGCTAATGAATAGCAGGAATATTTACATACAAAAATACATAGGTTTGAACACTTCAAAGTCTGCCCTTTGATGCAGCAGAGAGAAAGGGAGAAGAGCTAGTCCCTAGGAGAAGATGTATCTTCTGCCAGCTTCTGTACTGGGGCTGGGCAAACCACCCCACCACTCTCCCATGTCAGTGCTTGACCTGGGTTTCTCCATGCTTTCTGTTGCTTGGCTTCACTTCTTCCCATGTTCAGAGTGGCCTTGGGAGTGGATCCCTTTTTCTTTTTTCCTGGTTTTTTTTTTTTTTTGTTGTTGTTGTTGTTAATTCCCTCCCCCCTCCAAAATGACTCCCCCGAAGTGCAGCGCACAGGTAAGTGAGGTGTGCTGAATACATTGCTAATGAATAGCAGGAATATTTACATACAAAAATACATAGGTTTGAACACTTCAAAGTCTGCCCTTTGATGCAGCAGAGAGAAAGGGAGAAGAGCTAGTCCCTAGGAGAAGATGTATCTTCTGCCAGCTTCTGTACTGGGGCTGGGCAAACCACCCCACCACTCTCCCATGTCAGTGCTTGACCTGGGTTTCTCCATGCTTTCTGTTGCTTGGCTTCACTTCTTCCCATGTTCAGAGTGGCCTTGGGAGTGGATCCCCATCATGTTGACCTGGTGGCAGAGCCCATAGGAAATCACCCCATCGAGCACCAAGCCAGGGAGAGGAAGGCTGTGCTGGGCCACTGCTCTCCATCTGCAGCTCCTCTGCCTTACAGAAGGCTCAGGACCACCATCCTCATCTGTGGGGAGATGCACTCACCCAAGTGACCTTCTGGTCCCCTCCCCTGCTCTGGTCCTTTCTCTACCAGGGCTGAGCTCTTTCACAGAAGCCAGAGCAAAGATGTGAAACTCTCCCCATCCTTTCAGAGCATTTAGAAACTGTGATGGGGAGCAGGAAATCAGTCCAACCTCTTTCTGCTTTTGCCTTTTTTTCCCCCTTCTAAAGATTTATTATCAAAGGGAGATCTGGACCAGAGACCAAGGGCTATGGGGCAAAGCTCAGTCCCAGCCATGCTGCTGAGCTGGAATTTTCTTTGCAGGTCTTTGCTATTTTACTTCTTCAAAAGAAGTGCTTGAGGATGTCAACTGAGCTTACAAACCTTGTGGGGAGGAAACACCAAGGGCAGTACTGATGGAAAACCCTGAACACCACCAAGTTACCCTGGCTCCTGCTTCTGTTTTGTCTCTTCTGCTGCTCTTGCACAAAAACATGACTACAAAAATCACAAACCATCACAGTGCACATAACCCTCAGGGGAGGATGGACATGGGCTGTGAGATGCTGCTGCATAATGACTAGAAGGCAGTCAACATTTCTGCAGGGAAATGCAGCAGCAGAGCTGGTCTGTGCTGGACCTGAGCTCCTGCCCCATGGAACCCCCAACCTCCTGCCTGGGCTAGCAACCAGGCATCACTCTTCATCTCCTTACACCCTTCCTAGCAGGGATGAACTCAAGGAATTACTCTTTTTCCTCTCCTTCCCCTTCACATCAATACAAGAAACTGCTGCACCTTTCCTGGTCTCCAGCTGGGTGCAGGATCCATCCCATCCTGCAGCCCTTTGTGGCACAACTGACAGTGGCACAGGACAGAGCATCACTTGGCACAGCTGCATCCCCCTGTCCAGCCGGGTCGGGATGCATTTGTTTGCCTGTGGCACAACCTGGCAACCTGGGGCTCTTGTGCGCTTTGGCCAGAAGTTTATGGGGAGAGGATGGAAACTGGATTCAAAAGGAACAGGCTGTTCCAGCTTTTTCCGCTCGATACCTGGGCGTTTCGTGTCAGGGAGGGCAGAGCGATGACTAAACTGTGTGGGCCAGATTTTTCTAGCTCTAATTGCCAGGTGCTGGTTTGCTGCTGGGAGTTGTGCTCCCCTCTCCCATCTCATTTCCATTTTTTCCTTTCTCTTTTTTGTTGAATGGCTCGATAGCTGGAGGTGGGTGTGGTTGAACACAGGCCGGAAGGGGACACACTCAGAGGAGACACCAACAGCTGTTCAGGAGCAAAGCCATCCCATTCTCCCAGGGCTGGTCAGTTCTGGTGTGGTAGGTCCTGCTGAGCACTAACAGGTGATGGAGGATGTTCATCCAGATGCAGCCACTGTGGTGGTTTGTGTTGACAACGTGCACTGGAGGTGCCCTCCTGTGTCCCTTCTTCTTCCATCCTGCACCCCACACGGTGGCATGAGGGTCCGTGATTAATTCATTAAGGGATTTTCTGGGGTTTGTTGGGAATTTTGCCTTGTTTTGGAACTGTGTGTAGGGCTTATGGGTTTGTGTTTTTTTTCAGGGGAGTGGTAGTGGGGTTTTTTTGCTTGCTTGCTTGGGTTCTGTATCCTATAAATGTGTGTCCTCCTCTTCCTCCAGGTCCTCCTTCATGAGGGTGTCGAGAGGAACGATCCAGCTGTCCCCCAGCTCGCCGTTGAGGTTCACCTTCTTCTCCTGCATCTCAGAGGAGGTCTCCATCACCTCCAGCGTGGGGTTATCGTGGTAGCCATTCTCCATGGTCTGCAGCTCCTCGGTCAGGCGCTGCTGCGAGGAAAGAAAACCCAGAAACCCCAGTGAAGAAGAGCTCGGCCAACCTGTGCGTGCCACCTTGGGGCTGTCACCTCCCAGCCAGCTATGGCCACTGCCCCGCATTTAGTAACTACATATAGAAACATTCACAGTGAGGTTGAGGCTGGGGGCTGCAGTCAACACCAGTGCAGCAAGGAGAGAGCATAGAGCTGGCAAGAGAGAGACTGCTGATGATGGGTAAAAGGAAAGAGCAGTCAGAAACGTATGGAAAACCTCCAGGAGCAGCTGCCACCTTCAGCCTGGCTGTGGACCAGAGCTTCATTCCCCCAGAACCTTGGGAAGAGGTGAAACATTGTTGTCATTTCCTGAACCTGCATCCGAACTCCTGCTTCCCAAACTTGACTCCTTTCTTCCCCTCCCCTTTCTGCCTCCCTGTCTCTTTTTAGCTGCTTTACAGTTCGAGCTGCTTTGTTGTTGGTCTCCCCCTCAACCTGGGGGCAGCTTCCACCTTGCAGATGCTGCCAGCCCATTTGACCCTCCATAAGCATCATCTTGGAGCCCTATTCTTAACCTCTCAGTGGAAACCAGGCAGGGAAATGACAGCTTCTCCCACCCTTTTCCCTTTGGCCATGTGTGGCTTTGGCTGATTAATGGATGAATCAGGCATTGCCTCACCCTGGTCCTTTGGTATGTTGCGCTCCAGGCTCTCAACCAGCCCTTCAGCCCCTGGCAGACCCCCATCCTAATTTTGAATTTGCCATGGCAAATTCATCCCATTCCACCCTGGTGGGATCCACTGGGGAGCTGCAGTCCTCAGTCAGCCCATTTTTTCGGGAGCGTGGGGCTCTCAGTAAGCATCCCTGTTAAAATCTGCCTGGATTTACAGCTTGATTTATTACAGTGCTCCTAATAAATGTCAGGAGACAGGCGTGGGAGGGAATCCATGGAGAAGAGAAGGGATGGAGAAGTGAAACTGCAGGGCTTGGTGCTAGCAGGGGGGGGCTGCAAAGGTGCTGCTGGGGGGGTTCCCCTTGGGTTGCATGTGGTGGGAGGGATTGTGGGCAAGAATGGAGGGATGCTCAAAAGCAAAGGAGGCACTTGGGCTCTTGCAGGGGCTGTTTTGGCCTGTGGGGTTGTTGGTACAACCCTGTGATGGATGGATGCTCAGGCAGCGCTTTCTCCCCGCCGTGCAGCAAGGGGTCTTTAAAGCTGGTCTTTAGTCCTGTTAAAAGCTACTGAATCCTACCAAGCACGGGGGGGGTGAGAGCTGAGGGTGTTACGGATGCGGCGCCCGCCCCTCCGATCCCTGTGTCAGAACTCACATTAAAGATCAGGGCCACATGTCCATCATCAAACCCGGGGAGATCAGGGTGGATGTGCTGGTTATTTCCAAGGTAAAACAACAGCAGGGTTTAAAAGGGGGGGAGTGAGGGTTGGAGACAAACAAAAATAATAATAATAAAAAAAAAACTTTCAAGTCATTTTTTGAAAAGGAGCAGGAGGAAGACAAAAGAAACCACCCAAAAACAAATACAGAAAGGAGCAATTACTGTGATTTTCCAAAAACCTATTGCAACTGCTTAGAAAAAGCAGATTCTTTTCCTGTGCTCTGAGCAAGAGCCATACTGAGGAACTGGCATCCCTTGCTTTGGTTTTGCTACCTCACCCTGTGGCTGGTGGCTATTTACCTCCAGAGCCTTCAGCCAGGGCTGGTACCAATTCTTTTGCACCCTGTTCCTTGAGGGACGTGCATTCCCATTACTAAAAATACCCTATTTCTACCTGTTTTCTTGTCCATATAGGGCAAGAGTGTTACTCTGCTCCCTGTCCCTGCTGGAATGTTTTCCACCCCAACCAGAGAGTTCTCAGCAGAAGGATGGCTCAGCTGCAAAACCCTCTAAGCTCCAAAGGGACCAGATTGGAGGTCAGACATCTATTGAGTTCTTGCATTCTCCCTCCTTCCCTCCTGAAAAATCAAGCATTGTATAAAAACAAGTCTGATGCTGGCATTGGTTTGCTCTTCCCTGCCTCCTGTGTTCATCTCTGTTAAGACTCCAAAGGTTTACAGCAAAGGTTGCCTCATTCCTTGCCTTCACACAGCTCCTGGTACGTGGGCCAGATGTTGGGACCCCCTGGGAAGGATGAGCTGGTTTGGTGGGAAATGGCTTGAAAGAAAATGCAGGCGTTTGCTTTTCCATCAGGAGGGTGGTTTATCTTAATTGCATCATTTAGCCTCATTCCCCCTCCCCTTTTTTTTTCTGTTTCTGTCTCTTCTCCAGAGCTAAATCCTCAGCAAGAGCAATAGGAGCTGACGCAAACCTCGGGTACGTGGCAGAGCCCCCCCCCACCAGTGCTGCACAGCGTGGGACTGGCCAGTCCTTGCAGGTGGATGCTAAGCAAAAATCACCCAAAATTGCTTCCTGAGATAAAAATGATAGTATGTTGTTGGGTTTTGGTTTTGGTTTGTTTTGTTTTGTTGTTGTTTTTTTTCCCCAGGTCTGTTCTTCCTTAAATCCTGCTGCTGCTGCTCTGAATTCTGGCTCCAGCCCAGCTCTGCTAAAGGCTGAGCCGCACAGTGTGGGTGCCCTCCTGTGGCTGTCCTGTCATCCTCCCAACCTTCCTGCAGGCCTTGGCACCCCCGAGGGCGGCATCAGGGTGATTCTGGGCACCTAATCCTGTGCATGAACGTATTTTGAGAATTTGGGGTGGGGGGGGAGGTTGGGTTGAGAAAGACTTTCTTTTCAAAATAATGACCCAAGGACTCTGCTCAGCCCTCCTGCTTTAGGTGATGGCAGGGACTGATGCTGCTCGTTGTCATATGCCACCATCACTAGCCCCTTGTTTCCCTGATTTTCATCCAGCTGCCCCCCACCATGACACCCCCAAAGCAGCTCCTGCCCCTCTGGAGCATCCACAAAACTTGGACAACTCTTGAGCAACACAGGAAGGTGGTGCCTGCGGGGATGGCAACATTGATGATTTTCATCTCCCAGTGGGAGATGAAGCTGTCCCCTCTGGGACAAAAAAGTCTCAAGGTACGTGTCCCACCCCCCTCCCACTTTACCTGGTCCTTCTTCTGGGAGAAACGCTGGTGGCAGCAGCCATAGATGGCTGCAATCAGCAGCAGGGAGCCAGCCAGGGTGACGATGGTGATGATCAGGGGGGTGCTGAACTCGTCGGTGATGACCATCTCCCTCTCCATTTTGTCATAGGTGACGTTGGCAATGCCAAGCTGCCACAGAAGGGACAGGTCAGGCCCCGAGGAGGGTTTCCTGTGACACCCACCTGGGGGAACATCTGCAAGGAAGTTGCACTGTGCCCAGGGATGCACTTACCTCCTCTAACTTGTCCGTCTTCTCCTTTAGTTCCTCGAGGACTTTTTCAGTGTCCAAAGGGACTGGGGGAAGAAAGAGCATGTGGTGAGTACAAGGTGGGGGGTGCAGGTTGTGCCACCATCTCCTGGTCAAAGGAGAAGATGTGTGGGCATGAAGCCAACCCTTCACAGCCAGACAAGGAGCAGGGACCTCTTTTCCTGGCAGTGGAACAGCCCTGGAGACCCTAGTCTCCACCATCCCCCAGCCCTGTGCTGTGCACACTCTGATGGGGGAGTCTCTGCTTTGGTGGGAAATTTGCAAGTGGGACCGGTGTGGGGCTGTAACCAGCCAGTCCAGGCCAGAGTGGTGCAGGATCTGTCTCTAAAGCCTGGCTGCCCTGCCCAGGGTCAGGTGCTGGAGGCTGGATCCAGCTCTTGCCCTAATGCTGTGGAGGAGGAGGATGGGGGTCAGTCCTTCCTCTCCTTGGCACTAAGGCAGCGTGATGCCTCCATCCTCCTCTGATGCCTCCATCCTCCTGGGACTCTGGTACTAAATGAACATTTGAGCACCTCTGGGCTGAGCAGAATTTCCCCACAGGGCTCTGACCTTAGGCAAGAAACTCCCCTCTGTGCTCCCGTGGGGCAGGATTTGACCCCAGGGCACTGAGTATTAACCCTCTGGGAGGTATTTTTCATCCTGGACTCTGGTCACTGACTTATCATGGATGGGAGAGGGACCTGGTGCATTCATTGGGGAGCCAAGTTCATTTCTGGGGTCATTTTGCCTCTCCCAAGCCTGTGAGCTGAGGCAATCCAAGGAAAGGAGCCCCTCAGCCAAGCTCTGGCGAGACCCCAAGGCTTCTGCCAAGCCTCGGGCTGCATCCCCACACCAGGCTCCCCAAAACCAGTCCCATCCCATCCCCCCTGGGGGCAGGATGGTAGGATCATACTCACGGTGCACGACAGCCTGCACGGCCCAGTGCTGGGAGCGGGGCTCACGGGAGGTCAGCACCACCGTGCACGTCTCCCTGCTGGCGTTGAACACGTGCTGGCCCGTCGAGCAGAAGCTCTCAAAGAAGGAGATGTTGGTGCTGACCATCCTCCACTCAGCCTGTGGTGACAGCAGGGCCTCAGCAACATCCTCTTCCCCAGGAGACTGCTGAGGAGCATCCTGCCCCATCCCCAGGGATGTTGTGTCCAAGCCCATCCTCCCCCAGCCCTTTGCACCGCCCGGCTGCTGCCGGCCCTCCCAGGGAACAGGAAAAGTTTCAAAGCAGTTTCTTCATGAGAAGCCAAGCTCTTGGCTGCTGTTCCTCACTGCGGCCCTGCACTGGCCTTATCTAAGGGCTGCAGCTTTTGGTGTTACAGGAATAGCAGGTCCTGAGGGAAGCAGGGGGGCTGTGGGAGGCTGAGGGGCAGAATGATGCTCTGTGACCCCACGGGCATCTGTGGTTCTGCCACCATCCACATTTCTAGCCTCTGTCCCCACCAACATGGGTCCCTGTCCTCTGTAGAGCTTCCCCACAGCTCTGCAGGGGCAAGAGAAAGTGTTTTCCTTTCAGATAAATTGGAGCATCCCTGGAGAGGTTAGATTGGATGGGGCCAGAGGGATGGTAGAGGAGTGGATGGAGCCCATGGAGATGGATGATGCTCCTGAGGCCTTTTGCATCTGTTGGTTTGTAGCAGCTGGGAAAAGTAGAGGTGATCTCCCTCCTGCATGCACAGCTCATGTAGGTCTTACATGCAGGAAAGCTGTATCTCCAGCCCTTCAGCATCTCCTATTAAGACAGGCTGAGATAGTTGGAGTTGTTGAGCCTGGAGAAGAGAAGGCTCCATGGAGCACCTTCCAGAGCCTGAAGGGGCTACAGTTTTTCTGGAGAGAGGCAAGGGGTAATGGTTTTAAACTGAAAGAGGAGAGATTTACATGAGATATTAGGAGGAAATTCTTGACTGTGAGGCTGGTGAGACCCTGGCCCAGGTTGCCCAGAGAAGCTGTGGCTGCCCCATCCCTGGCAGTGTTGAAGGGCAGGTTGGATGGGGCTTGGAGCAACCTGGGCTGGTGGGAGATGTCTCTGCCCATGGCAGAGGGGTTGGAACCAGATGTTCTTTAAGTTCCCTTCCAACCCAAACCATTTTATGAGTCCCGTCACTCCCTTTTCCCAGGGATGCAGCTGAGATGATACAGACTCAACAGAGGGGTCTGGGGGAAGCTCCTCCTCACTCGAAGTGAAAGGACAGGTGAGAACCAGCAGCCATTCCCAGGGATGGCTGGGGCCTCATGATGCTGAGCTCACCCTTGTGCTGTGCCCAGGACCAGTCTTCTGGCCCAGCAGGTGCATCCTGTCTCCCACATATTGGGGTGAGATTAAGTGCCTTCCTCAGCTGGGTGGCTTCTGTCTTGTGGTGGAGTAAGTGAGATGCTGGTGGTCATCCACGCGAGCAGGACCTGGCATGGATGGTGTAGGAGGGGAAGGTTTGGGGTGCTGGAGCAGGCAGGAGCAGAGTCCACTCCAGTAAGGGCATGTGCTGCCTGGCACCACCTCACAGGGAAGAATTTCTTCCTAATATCTCATCTAAATCTCCCCTCTTTCAGTTTGAAACTTTGTTCCCCCTCGTTCTGTTGCTGTATGTCCTCCTAAGAAACCCCTCTCCAGCTTTCCTGGAAAACCTGCCCTGTGCCAGGGCAGCCCGTGGGCAGCAAGACAGGACCTTGGGCAAGGCAGCATCCCCCAGAAAGCTCATCCCCAGCAGGGCAGGGAGGAGAGGGTTACAGCTTGGCCGGGGAGGTGTTTTTAACATCTTCGGACGCTGGGTTGTGCTCCTACGCCTTAGATGTCCCGCAGTCCATCAGTTCCCTGCCTGTGCAGCATTTCCTGCTCGGCAGAGGCACGGAAACCTCTCTGCTACCTCCCTGCATCCTCCTTCCCCAGGTTTTGCCTCAGCTCTGCCTTCCCCCAGCCCTTAATAACCCCCTTCTACTACCACCTCATGGGAGGGGGAAAAAAAACAACCCAACCTTTACACTGTTTTGGTGATTTTTTTGGAGGGGATGGGAAGGGAAACCAGCTGTTCCAACCCAGCTGAGCCCCAAACCGCTTTGCTGCCTGATGGTGAGCTGTGCCTCAAGCCCTCGGGGGGCTGAACCGGAGGGATTTACCCTTCCCGGGACTGGAGAGGGGCTCGGGAAAGCCTGGGCAGCCGGCAGGGGGGCGGGGGGAGCCCCAGCAACGCA